TCCAAGAAGTTTGGGGGACCCGGTGCCCGCGCACGCTACCAGAAATCCTACCGATAAGCCCACCACGAGGAGCAGGGTTCATGTTGATAATAAACAAGGGTTATGGGATTTTAAGGTTCGAGGACTGTGCTGTGATCTTCTATGGGAGCATCAGGGGGTTCTTTTGCTAGACAAAATGCAGGAAATGCCCTCAGCCCTTATCCAGTCTGGTCTTTAGTCCTTTCCAGAAGCCACCACTCTGGGCTTAGTATGGAGGGATGGGAGCAGGTGGGTCTCAGTCTTCCTGTGACCTCCAGGGGAGCTGAGGAGCTGGAGGTGGTTCTGGGCTGCCGGTGACTGCAGAGCTGCCTGGCTGGGTGGGCTGCTCCCAGAAGTTAATTCCCCGCCCCCCGTCCCTTTCCTCGTTTAATGGAATGTCAGGGAAGAACAGGAATTGTGTAGAGTCAGTAATCTAACGATAAGAAGAGGGATGATGAAGAAGGTGAGGTGCAAACGCCTGGTTGGAATATGAAGTTTGTGACTGAGGGCCATGCCTGCGGTTGGCAGGAGAGTGTTTCTCTACGCCAACCTATAGCATGGTTAGTATGAGATCTGGGGAGAGGGAATCAGCTTGTAGCGCAGCCGTGGCGTGAGGGAGGCATGGGCAAGTTTAGGAGATCTCCCTCCGACCTCCCCAGTCCAGGCCACGCCAGCCTCCTTTGAGGTGCTTTGTGTTCTGTTGCTCCTTGTTCGTGGAGTTGTCTGGGTGGTCTTCCACGCCATTCTTGTTGCCCTAGCTGACTTCATCCTTCAGGGTGTGAACAGTAACTTCCTGGGCAAAGGCTCTCAGCGGCCACCTTACAGCACATTCCGGTCATGCTCAGGGTGGTAGTCTTTCTGTCTTCATCTGCCCTCCTTCTGCCTCAGGCACCTCTGCCTGGCCTGGTGCTATGGCCATCGCAGTGACCACAACCCACTTCTGGCCCCCCCAGAGTCAGACGGGGCACACAGGCGCTGGTGGCTGGGGAGTGGGGCTCTAATGACTTGAGTGGCAAACCAAACGGCGAGCGAGCTTCACGAGAGCACGTCTGTTCCCACACCAGCCGGTGCAGCCAGCCTGGGCACCTCACACCCGTCCCCGCCAAGCGGAGTCCCACGTGACTCACTGCTGGCAGTACAGGGAGAACCTGATAACCACACTTGAATGTTGATCGAGGGGAGGAAGTCGCACAGATTTGCTTCTGTAAAAGAAGGAATTTGACGTGTCGTTCTGTGTGTCCAGTTTTCCTTTTTTTAAAATCTCTTTGCACTCTCCAACACGGTAGCCACATGCTGGGCTGCGCAGATAATAGGACATTTCCACCATCCAGGACAGTTGTAGTGGACAGCATGGGTGTAGAGTACCTTAAAGAGAGTCTTAACAACCGTGGGTGGGGTTGACCAGCACTGGCGAGGTGCTGGGTTAAGCATTGTCAAATCTTTGCACCATCACTGTGAGGCTGGTTACCAAAGAAAACCCAAACCCACTGCCATCAAGTCGATTCCGACTCAGTGACCCTATAGGACAGAGTAGAACTGCCCCATAGAGTTTCCAAGGAATAGCTAGCTGGCGGGTTTGAACTGCCGACCTTTTGGTTAGCGGATCTTGCTCTTAACCGCCACACCGCCAGATTTCTGAGTTTGGTGACAGTATCCCCATATTACGAACAGGGAAGCAGGCCTGGGGCAAGGGACCGTTCTGCAGCTCACCATGTTACATTGGAGCTGGAGGTGGAACTCTGGATAACTGCGTTTTAGCTGGCATTAGCCTCAGTGTCCCAGGGAGGGCAGCAGTGTTCCAAGGAGGAGCACCTTCAGCTGTAGCTATAAAGAAGGCTAGGCTTAGGCTGGGGGAGGCCAGCAAAAAAGGTAGTCCTGAAAGAAGACATGGACCCTGGGGCCACGAAGCAGAGGGAAGCAGAGGTAGGA